TTGGCTACTACTATAATCAAGCTTCCCAATTACCGTTTTACACCCTTCATTAAAAACAGTTCTAGTTAAAGTATTAAGGAGCTCTGGTAGCATAGTGGTTACAATTTGGGCTGCTAACCTCAAGGTCAGCAGTTCGAAACTACCAGCCGTTCTGAAGGGAGAAAGATGAGGCATTCTGCTCCCATAAAGATTTACAGCCTCGGAAACCCTGTGCAGGGTCGCTATGAGTTGGAATTGACTCTACGGCACAAAACAACAACAACAACAATTTGAAATATTAAATGATGATATTAAAACTCAGAATTCACAAAAGAGGAACTAGGAAATACAAAAACATTCATAAACGATACATGTGCAAAATATGCTTAAAGTTAAGGGAACTTTAAGTACAACCGAACGTCTGTACTCTTCCTGGGCAGCTGGATAGCAAAAAAAAAAAGGAATTAAAAAGTGAGCAGCTGTCCTAGGCAAAGTAACTTAGTTTGATTCCTGGCAATCTGAAAACCATGTTTTCGCCCAACCCAGGACGACAAGTGAGTTCCATTCTGTTCTGTGAGGTCACTGAAGAAAGGGGCTTCTCCTAAGTAGTAATGAACATCTGCCTTGAGCACTGTGTGAGCACTGTGCTGTTTTATAGGACGATCCACATGGGATCAAACTGACAATAGCAACTGAGAAGATTAGAGAAGAAACTTAGAGAAGAATTTGAAAAAAGAGAGTGAAAATGCTGCCGCAGCTTGAAGAATATAATCAATGTCACTGAATTATACAAGTAGAAATGGCTAAATTGGTGTATGTCAACAACACTGTCGACAACTGCAACAACACAAACAAAATGTAGTTTTTAAAGGTGGGCTTCTATGATTTGACAGCACTTAACAAGTACCACCACCACTTTATTGATGTAATTCATCAGTCTCCTCTGTTAATCACACTGGGACATTTAGTTATACATTCAAAGACATTTTTATAACTAAATAAGAATGAATGATGAGACAAACACTACCCTAACCAAAACATGGGAGTCCTGGTGTGGCGCTACAAGTTAAACACTGGACCACAAGGTCAGTTTGAACCACAAGGTCGGCGTTCAAACTCACCAGCTATTCCTTGGAAACCCTATACAAGGTAGTTGTGAGTTGGAACTAACTCGGTGATATTTAACAACAACAACCAAAGTAAAGGAAGGCACTCTGGTGACATGGAGGGTTACGTGTTGAGGTGCTAACTCCAAGGTCAGCAGTTTGAACCCACTGGGAGAAAAATGAGGCTGTCTGCTCCCATAAAGACTTAATGGAAGAACCCTAAAGGGGCAGTTTGGCTCTGTCCCATAGAGACTCTGAGTTGGGACCAACTCCTTGGCAGTGGGTTTGGTTTTTAACAATAAAAAGCAAAACAAAACAAAAAAAAAAACAAAACAAAGCTGGCAGCTTTCCAGAAAGACATGGGTAAAGTTTTTGGTTTCTATGGCAGCAGAGAACAAATGATTTATGTTTTACCAGAAGTCTATTTTAAAACAAAGTTCTTTCTCTGGAAGCAAGACATAATTGCCAAGATTGAAATCAGAGAACTTATATTAATATAGAGCATTAGGTGAACTGTTGGTTTCAATGCTAAAAGGTGAACTTTTATCAACAGGTTTTATAATATTCCCCCAAAACACTGAATAGCATCTGTATCTTTTTTTTTTTTTTTTTGGTAGTACAAGTCTAGCATTTTTATTTAGCATGAAAACAAAAACAACACGAAGGGGAAGCCATGGCTTGAAGGGGAAGCCATGGCTTGGAGAGAAGCCGTATTGTGCAAGAGCCATCTGGAACAGGCCAACTGTGATTTGTAAAAAAAGCTCAGGCTCCAATCTCTTAATAAGTGGTGAATTATAAATAATTTTAATAATCTCCTTATGCAATTACCCATACCAACACTATGCCATATTATATTACATATTTCCCTATAAAAATATTCAGAAATAAGAAAATAGTAAGTTTAATGCAAGCAGCAACATGTATGGCAGTACATGAAGAGAAAGACGTTACGATTCTCATTCCTATCAGCTGTGTTAAGTAAACATGATTCTTGCCATTTGATTATGGAGGGTCAACAATAAAGGGCAAGGTTGTTGTTGTTGCTACGTGCCACTGAGTTGGTTCTGACTCATAGCGACCCTGTATAGGGTTTCCAAGGAGTTTCTGGTGTGTTTGAACCACCAACCTTGTGGTTAGCAGTTCAGTGATTATCCTAAGCCACAACAGGACCCCAGTAGCTAGGGTAGGAAGGTTAAATTAATTACTGTAAAAGGTGACCATTCAAGTGCCTCAGAGCTGTTTATTTATTAATGGAAATCTTTACAAAGATAAATTCATCTTAGAGTTACACTCCAAACACATTGCAATTCTAGTCACTTTTCTGAAACAAGAGATTTTTAGCTTAAAAATTATTTGCTAAACCTCTGATTCATTTGAAAAAAAAAAAAAGAAAACTTGTTTAAAAATAGACACTTCACTACCTGTTCAGAACGTGTACTGGAGAAGACTGAGGCCTCAACATACATATTTTAGATTTTAAGAAGACTACAGGAATGAAAGGAGTCCTGGTGTGGTGCTGTGGGTTAATGTGCTGGACTTCAAAGTTGGTTTGAACCGAAAGGTTGGTGGCTCAAGCTCACCAGCCACTCCTCGGAAACCCTAGCCACTCCTCGGAAACCCTATACAGGGTCGTTCTGGGTCGGAACCAACTCGACAATACTTTACAACAACAAAAACACAGAGATGAAAAATGCAACCTCCAATTCCAGGACACTCAATACCATACAATGACACTTTCTGAGATGAAAGCAAACACTTATTTTAAAACCAGGAGTCAGAAAAGAAAGACGGTGAGGTGTTTTAACACAATGAGTTATTCGAGAGGTGTGTGGTTATTGAGGGCGTATGCATCAACAGTAAACTCACACACAGAAAGAGTAAATTATATGTCACTTTGAAAATTCATGAATTTGTTAAGAAAATATTAACAAACAAGACTCAAGACTATCACTGCTTAAGGAAAACAAATTATGGAAGAAACTATAAATCCTCTATTCCTCTAATTATTAAAGTACTGAGCTATCTAGCTATGATCCGCAGGCTGTCTGTGTAACTGGGATTGAGGTTTGTTTGAATGAAAGAGCCTGGCAACTATGCCAAACAGAATCAGCTTGAAACAGGCCGCACTGAAATTACCACCTGTCTTAAAAAGACCAATTGGTTCAGGTGATTTGATGTCCTCACGATGAGGTTCAGTTCTGTTATCCTGAAGCAAGGTAGGTTATCTCAGCAGATTAGAAAATATTCAGGGGGACAAAGTAAAGTGAAATGGATCCCCAGAATTCTGACTGGAAGTACATCAGCGTTGGAGAACGAAGGAGCAGGCTGAATACAAAACGAACACAGAAAAGAAAAAACATACAGAGCACAAAGGAAGAGGAGCAGTGAACAGGTTTCAAAACAGACACATTGGTGTTCCCCTAAAATATGCGTCAGCTTGGCTAGGCCTTGATTCTCAGTATTATGTAATTATCTTCCAGTTTGCAATCTGATGCAATTACCCTGTCTGGCTTCTATTTTGTTAATGAGGCAGGCTACAATCCACAGGACTATGACTTGTATCTTGGGTCAATCTCATTTGAGAAACAAAAAACATTTTACAAGTGAGTACAAGGAGACCTCAGTACCACCAAGGAAAACAACTGGGAGGTGAGCACATCATTTGGACCTAGAGACCCTGTACTATGAATCTTGCAGATCAAGGGACAACTGATGCCAAGACATAAGGAAATCTCCAAGGCATGCCAAGCTCACAGATGTTGAAAGGAGGCAAGAACCGTCAACCCAGAGCCAACAGAGGGTTTCAGAAAGTCTTCCCTAGAGCTGCTATGCCCTGAAGTGTGGCTCTGTGGGCTAATGCGTCAGACTGCAAAGTCGTCTGAACCAGAAGGTCGGTGGTTCAAGCTCACCAGCTGCTCCTTGGAAACGCTATACAGGGTCACTATGGATCAGAACCAACTCAATGGCACCTAACAACAACAACAAATGGTAAGAGAATAAATTTGCTAGTTAAAGCCGTACACTTGTGGTATTTCTGTTGTAACAGTACTAGACAATTCAGAAATCAGGAATAAGTCTGTGATAACTTCCTTAAAATGTCTGCAATGGAATTAATCATTATTTCCAAATTCTTTCCCTCTAATCTTATACATGTGCCTATTAATCCATTCTGTAATTTTAGATATTTACATGGAAAAAATTACTCTTACTCACTAGTTAAGATTTTACTTTTACGTAAGTTTAAGACTTCAAATTTGTCAAGAATGAAGAAGAAAACTCCATTGATGCTCTAAAATTTCTTTTCTCATAGGGAGTTTAACATTAAAAGCTTATTATTAAAACAGAATCTTAATACTGGGAGGAGTGAGGTAAAGAAATTAGAGCCCACAGACTGAGGACTCTGTCCCCATCCTTGGGCTCCTTTCCGTCTTCCTTCTCTGGCTACAAACTCTGATGAGTCTTCTGTCAGTTCCAGCTCACCTGATTTTCCAGTTAGTCTTGTTTTTTTATACCTCGCATGACAATGCCATTTTACAAAACAAGCAGCAGGCAGACCATTTCCCATTATTTTTAGCAACTCGGACTTCTTTTTCTGTCATTTCCACGGCCTTCAATGAATTAGGCTACTAGTGGATTATAAAAACAACACTGGCAAAATTCAGCTAAAATGTTCACCAATGTTACCTTGAAAACGTACACAAACTGGGCCTCTTTTATGTCAGTTTAGCACGCCACATTTAGATGGCATGCTTTAATCCCTATTGAAGTAGCAATCAGTCAGGATATATACCACAGTCAAAAAAGAATATTCCAGATAGCAGAATATAATTTACAATCTAAATATGACACTTTTCCTAATTTTTTTGTTGTTGTTTAGATGAGAAAAGGAGTTGGGGGAGGGAAGATCACACTTACAAGTCCACTTAGGGCTATAATCCAGATGTAGGAACCAGAGGTGAAAAGCTATAAAAGAAAAAAAAAAAATGCAACTAAAAAAGAAATTCAACTGCTGGTCAAAACATAGCTATTACCACAACCATTTCTACATTAAATATTCCTCACATAAACCACAGGATAACTAGTAAATACAGAACAATTCTGCTATTTAAAATAAAATAGTTGTTTTTGTTTTTAAACCAAGTTTTGTTTTTTTTAAATAGCCTAAAAAAGATCGGTTGAGCCAAACCTAATGCCAAGCAAAGAAACAAAAAAAGTGAAATTCAAACATACTCCTAATCAGAAATGGGTACTAAGTGACAAAGTAAAATGCCACGTCTAAAGGAGCTCTGGTAGCGTAGTGGTTACGAATCGGGCTGCGAACCTTAAGGTCAGCGGTTCGAAACTACCAGCCGCTCCGCGGGAGAAAGATGAGGCTTTCAACTCCCGTAAGGATTTACACCCTCGGAAACCCTGTACAGGGTCGCTATGGGTTGGAACCGACTCGACGGCACTTAACAACAACAACAAAGAAATGACTACAATTAACAACATTTAAATCATGCAGTCCCCATCCAATGGCACATACCATTGGTCTCATTTTCATTTCTTATCATATTCACTCTAAATTTAGATGGGAAGGAGTCTGCAAGCTTACACTTCCACGTCCAATCTTACTTTCCTTGGGCTGATATTCTCATGCCAGTTCGACCAGAAAAGTGCAAACTCTCTTTAACTATTACTACAAGTAACAGTAATAGTTAATTATGGCAAATTAATTAGAATCGTTGTTGCTGTTATTAAATGCCATCGAATCGGTTCCGACTCATAGCAACCCTGTATATGTATAAATCTTTACAGGTGCAGAAAGCCTCCTCTTTCCGCCGAGGAGTGGCTGCTGGACTCATACTGCTAACCTTCTTGTTAGCAGCTCAACGCTTATCCCACTACACCACCAGCAGTGGCCCTTTTGTAGAACCGTAGATGGGGCATTTAAGTACTTCTGATCGCAGAGGAAGACCAAAGCTATCACTATCGTTTGCTTGTTGGCATTATGCTACAGGAAAAGATTAAAGTTTGGTACACACAGACACAAAGATGGAGTTAAGAAAAGACAGGCAAGAAGGGGGTTGAGAGGTCGAGTTCCGTGATCCACTGCCGGGCCATGAGCACCGGCTGTGATTGCCAGTGTAATCTTTCGATCCAGCATGGATGCTAGTGCACTGTGGGTGCCTCTGATACTCACAAGGATGGGAATTCTGTGAAACAATAGTTCACAGTAACTGTCTTCTAGAAGTAAAAGAAACAGGAGCCCCAGCTCACATTGTCATAGCACCCGGCAGGCGCCATGTTCTAATCTTCATTTTGTTCATACATGAAACCCACTGAGGCTTCAGAATCACTCTAAGAGGCAAGTTCTATTATTATCTCTATTTTACCAATCAAAAAAACGGAGTGGTTATGTAAGTTTAAGTTGTCTAAGGCCAAAAAGCAACTAAGTGTCAGAGGTAGGAGTTGTATACAGGCAGTTGGTACCACAGATGTATGCTCTCTTGTAACTTCTCAAGTCTACTGTGCATGTTTCACATATACATAAAATGAGTAGTCATTCTATCAGTTTAAAAAACCCTGAATTTCCTTAGAACTTAAGCCTCTCATCTTGTTGCGTGTTTGGCCCTGATTGTGTTTGCTTATGCTTTGACACTGAGTATGTTTCCTTACAGCTGCTGGGCTCCTAGAGGGCAGGTATCCCATGTATTACCTCATTTTATGGTCTACAGCACTTAGCACAGGGTCCTACGTGACTGGATCTCAAGCCACTTGATGCCCAATGACCCTTAACAAGTATTTGTGCCTTTCTGAGAATGGTTAAAGTCATCCATCCCACCTTCCATTAATCCAGCTTTAAGAATCTGGTGCAGTAAGAGAAAAAGGCACAAGGAAACATGTGTGAAGGCCCAGAGAGGAGGAGGGAGAAAGAGAATAGTAACTTTAGGTATAAGGGGTTCGGTCCCACTTTCTTCCAGCAGTTGACACCAAATTGACCAGAAGAACCCTGGAGAGCATTCCAGCTGAGGTCTTTAGATTTTTACCAAGAAGTTATGGAGGCACCTCTGTCCCCTTACTGTTACCAACTTCTACCTCACAGATTCATTAAAGATTTTATGAAAATATTAGGGATTTACATTATTTTGGACAACATAACTGTGGTAGGTCCATTTACATTTTTGCCGTGTTAGGACTATGAGGATACTTTCATTCACTGCAGGCTCATGACACCCCTGTAAAGCACTAAACACAATGGCTCTTCTGATAAAGGCTTTGCAGTTTCTAACTAGGATCTCCTTTCTGTAAGACATTAAGCACAATGTCTTCAAAATAACAACAACAACAAAAGCAATACATTCAGAATCCCAGAAAACACCAATGGTGGTAGGTATGAAACCATAAATGATTAAGTAATCAGGAAGACATGAATTATTCACTAGTACTAACCAACTGACTTAAGGTTTTTAAAATTATAGTTCTTATTACCTGTTCAGATTACAGTAAATATCCCAGCAACTACTATTTCTAATCCTTCAAACACCCCTGTAAGAGAGATGTTATGTACCCCACTTTACAGATGCAGAAATAGGGGCTCAGAAAAGTTAAGTAACAAAACTAATAATTACCAGAGCCAGTAATCAAACCCAAGTCCACATGACTCCAAAGTCTTTCCACAATGCTACACTGAATTCCTACTCCATAATTATAAAACGATGCTCTGTCCCTGCGAAGATTTGACATAACTTTTGTGTTGGAATGTACCACCAGGCTCAGACACGTGACCTGGCCTGACTCAAGTCTCACAATGAGTGAGTACCTCACTAGAATGAGAACTGATGAGGTCTCCTACTTGAGGTCCAGGGTACTCGTCTAAGATGTCATTCTGCTTTGCGTCATAATAACTTAAAAAAATTGAGCACTCCCGGAAAAATCCTAAGAGTAAGAATACAGTGTAGAAATGGGCTACGAAGTTATGTGAACTTTAGGAAGGATAAGGGAGAATCTAGAAGCACTGGAGTTGAGGGATGAAGAAACGTATTTCATGAGAAATTGCTGTAAAAGTGGTAAGGAAACAACCGCCCCAGATGAGCCATTGATGACTTAAATGACAACAGAACTAGAGAAGTGAGAGGAAACGAGAAAGGTTAAAAGGGGAGAGAGGAGGGCATGTTAAAGTGACACTTGTATCAGTTTGACATGTGTGGGATACGAATGCTGTGATACTAGTCAGTGGATCAAAGGGCAAGACACACATGATGTCACAGGAAGCAGCAGGATAAAACTTTACATCAAAAGTTAAGAGAATAAAAGAAAAGTGACAAATATTGCAAGTAAGAAATTGCAAACACTATGTGTCTTCATATCATAGGGCTTGGAACAGAGCAGGAAACAGTTAATATATATGAATAGCAGTGAAGATCACCTTCTTAAATGGCATCATGATAATAAGTACGCTATGGGTCTTCACTCTGAACCACTTAACAAATGGTGACAATGCCATTCTAACTACATGACACAATTGTTAAAACTTCTCGAGAAACCAAAAGCTCAGGTTGGCAAAGCATATTTGGTTTCTTCTTCAGAGCCACAATGGTGACACTGTACCCCATAAATTAATTTGACATTGATTTTCCACTTGGTTTTCACTTCACACTATGATTTTAGAAAAAACTCAATGTGAAATCAAAACATTTTCCACTGATACAAATTACAGTGAAAGTGCTTATCAGATTTCTAAAGGCTAGGCAAGTTTTCTAGTCCCTGGTACACCTTGATGTTTTTGTTCTGTAACACTTCTTTTGAATTCTTGATATAGATCATGAAGTAAAACTTATGGAAAGAAACATTGTTTTCAGGAGATCAAATGAGAAAGAAAGAAAGAAAAAAAGAAAGATCTGGTTAAAGAAATATGAACATAAAATGCATACCGTACCTGTAGTCCCAATATATAAATCAATGTCTTGTTTGTGATGGAAAATTGGCCCAGAATTTGTGCCACTTGGACTCTTGGTATGGAGCAGTAAAATGGTACAAACAGAGCAAACACAGGTGCCAAGCTATGTAAACAAACAAACAAACAAAATCACTACAGTATAAAATTTAATTTAAAATATCAATGGCAAATGTATATTTGAAGTAATACTAGTTATAATTTTATCTCAGTCTGAAAGCATGGTCTTTGAAATCCAAGTTGGTTGCCATACATGCATCAATTTCTAAAATAATTTGTATTGCATTTAACACATTACAAAACTTTTCTAATCTTCTATCTTTGTGGACTTCCCCAGAGTACAGCAAAGAAATGGTTTACTACCTACTAATTACCAAATACTGTGAAAAAATGGAAACTTGATGCTACGTTTTCTTCTCACAAATAACGTAAGCTGTAACACAAGAGACTAGACAAACAAACCATAGCAAGAGAAGAACTTGAAGTCTTTATGGTCAAATCCAAAAGTCTCATCTCAAACTTTGTGCAACTAAACATCACCACAGCATAGCACACAACACTGCCTAGCATTCCTGCCTTCCCTTCCTCAAATCCCTTTCTTTTGTTTCACACACTGTATCTTACCAGTTTTCCAACCTGGTTTCTGTCCTTTTCAAGGTTCCATTATATTTTTTCCTTCTTGTTCTAGTCTCAACTCATTCTGTGCCTTCACCTAGGAAAATGAAGCAAGTTCCAAACTCTCAACTTATCCCCTCATTCTGGCCATGAAACTCAATTTGTTGATACCTTCAAAGTCACGTATTCAAATGCTGAGTGTGTCTTTCTACTTGCAATCTTCGTTTGTTCCAATCCATTTGATATGCCTTTAACAGTATTCTCTTCCGAAACTCAACTCTGAACCTGTAACTCCCGATTAAAACCCTGTGCAAGTTCCTGGTATCCACAGAGAAAATGCAAGTACTAGCATCTTATTAGTCCAGTTACTTCCTTCCTCTTCTGCTTTCACACACCCACATCAGGCTGTTTCCTGGGCACATCAGGCCCTTTTATGATTATCTATTGACACATTATTCCTTCAACCTAAAATACTGTTTTTACTTTTCGGCTTGCTTGTATGAAATAGCATGGTTCTTCTCCTTAAAACGATTTCCCCAACTCCTCCTGGCAGTTGGTTCTCTTCTTGGTCCTCAGAGACTCGGTGAATCAATTAGTCAGTTGGACACTATGTGTGGGGCAGTATACCAGGCATTACAGCTACAGCCAAACCTATGAGTAAGAAGCAATCCCTAACTTTAAGGAACTAGACCAAAGACTGGACACTCACATATGTACCAGGGATAAGCAGGGTAACATAACTGGGCACATACTTGCACTAATTTCTCATTAAATAATTGGCCCAATTAATCAGTGTATTTTTGTTTTCCCAGATTTGACAGTGACATCAGTACTACCAGAAATCAGAATTATTTATGAACAGTAATGTCAACAGCTACAAGAAATATTCACTTCACAAAGAAATATGCTGACTACAGCTACCATGGAAACACAGGACTCTCTTGATCTCTACTGACCTTTCCCACCTTTGGTAGAGTCTAGGTTAAAGGAAAGCCTTTGTTGTCCAGTCAGTTATACTATTAAAACCCAAAGAGCAGTATCAACAGGTATCTCCAAGAATGTAGCAAATGCTTACACTAACTCCTAAGTATCAGGCACTGAGTCAGCACTGGGGTGACAAAGAAGAGTATGAGATACTTGAAATATGGCGTGTGAGCTGAGGAGTAAATAACTCCAAACACAGTATGATAGGTACAGGACACAGAGGTATGCAGGCAGCACAGTGGGGCAAATCCCATAGTGATCAGCCCTTAATCAATATTTTTTCCAATACTTTATAGTGGTGTGCATGTAAGTTTATAGAAAAAAATAATTCCCTATTCAACAATTTATGCTGTGGTATGCATGGTGCATTAGTCCTTTGGACTAATTGTTTCCTTGAGTCTTGATTGTCTTCACTCTTTTTTTTCCTGGGGATGGGGAAGAAATCAATCAATTCATTTTGGATGGTTGATCTTAAATTTTTAAGACCCCAGCTACCACTCACCACAGTAGGATTTAGAATAGTGTCTTCATGGACTTTGTTAACATTCAGTTGACCTCGATGTTCCCTGAGACAACAGTCCTAAGCCCACTTGCCCAGTGACTCAGTCCCTCGAGATGTTTGAGTATGCTAAGAATGTTGCATAATTTAGCTCCTGGTATGCGCTACTCTTGTTGCTGTTGTCCTTAAGTGCTGTTTAGTCAGTTCTGACTCACAGTGACCCTGTATAGAGTTTCCAAGAAGTGAATAGTGGGTTTGAACAATCAGACTTGTGGTGAGAAGGTCAGCAGCTAAATGTTTATTCTATAGCGCCACACCAGGAAGAACTCCATGTTCTACTATATAACTAAATATATTTCAACACATATGAAAAGGGGTTTCAAAAGTTTGTGTAAAAATGGAATGAAAAGATTATGAAATTTTTCCACAAACTTTTGAAGCTTCGTCAGATGTACAAATATCTTCTGTCACGCCTATGTATGCTCATGAGTATACTCCCATACTCCATTACACATCTCTTCAGCTTATTTATCTACCTAGGTATCCACTGGCAGCATAGTGGTTACGAATAGGGCTGCGAACCTTAAGGCCAGCAGTTCGAAACTACCAGTCGCTCCGTGGCAGAAAGATGAGGCATTCTGCTACCGTAAAGATTTACAGCCTCGGAAACCCTGTACAGGGTCGCTATGAGTCAGAACCAACTCCACAGCACACAACAACAACAACAGGTCAGAACCAACTCGACAGCACTTAACAACAACATCAATGGCTAATGAGCCCAAGCATCTTCTCATATATTTGTTGGCCATGTGAATGTCCTCTTTGATGAAGTACGTATTCATGTCCTTTACCCACTTGTAAATTGTCTGTCTTTTTGTTGTTGAAGTATTGACATTTAATCCTTGACTTACCTCTTTAAGATTTGTCCCTTGTCAGCTATGTCACTGCCAAAAAAATGTTCCCAGTCTGTAGGTTCCCTTTTTATTCTTTTGGAGAATTCTTCCGAAGTACATCAGTGTTTAATTTTTAGGAGATCCAGTCATATCATCTATCAGCTGCTGTTCATGCATTTTCTGGTTATGTTTGATAGCCTATTCATACTATAAACTAGGGCCTCTAAGTTGGTCCCTATTTTTCTTTTAGGTTTTACCTTATGTTTTTGATCCCTCTTGAGTTCATTTTTGTGTATGTGTGTAATATGGGTCCTGTTTCATTTTTCTGCAACCAGTTTTGTCAGCACCATTGTTTAAAGAGACGATCCCGTCCCCATTTAATGGACTCCAGTCTTTTGTCAATGGTCAGCTGTCTACAGGTGGATGAGTTTCCTTCTGGAATCTAAATTCTGTTCTTTAGTTTTATGTGTCTGACACTGTACCAGTATCAAGCTGCTTTGACTACCACAGCTGTATAGCAGGTTCTGAGATCAGGAAGTATGAGGCCTACACCTTTGTTCTTCTATAGCTCTTACTCAACATCTCTTTCTTTTTCATAAAAAATTGGTGATTAGGTTTTCCATCTCTTTAAAAACCGCTGATGAAATCTGAATTGGGATTGCATTATATCCATAGATTGCTTTGGGTAGTGTTGACATTTTTACAATATTAAGTTTTCCTATCCATGAGCATGGTATGCCCCTCCATTGATGTAGTTCTCTCTTGGATTTTTGCAGTAGTGTTTTACAGCGTTCTTTGCATAATTCTTTTCCATCCCTGGCTAGGCTTATTCCTAAGTACTTAACCTTTTTGGCAACTACTGTAAATTATAATCATTTTCTTATATCCTTTTTTAGAGCTCTGTTTGTTAGTACTGATGAAGTCCACTGATTTTTGTGTATTGAATTTGTACTCTGTCACTTTTGGTTAGTTCCAGTAGATTTCTTGTAACATCTCTTGGATTTTCTAAGTGTAAGATCATCTGAAAATATGGGAACCTTTACTTCTTCCTTATTAATTTGGATGCCTTTTATTTCCCTTTCTTGTCTTATTGCTCTGACTAGGGCTTCCAGTACAGTACTGAGAAAGAACAGTGATAAAGGACATCTGTGTTTGGTTCCTGTTCTCTAAGGGAATGACTCCAGTCTCTTGTTGTTAAGAATTATGTTGGCTGTTGGTTCTGTGTACATACTCCTCAATTATGTTGAAAATTTTCTTCTATTCCTACTCTATTTCCCTTCTATTACTATTTATTGTATTTGTATTCCTATTTTAGCATTAGTGAACTGAAACAGTCTGGTAAAGACTACTGTGAACAATCATATGGTCTACTATACTGGAACGACATTGAAGAGGAATGGTGTCACATTCATCGTCAAAAAAACATTTCAGGACCAAACCTGAAATATAATACTATCAATGATAGGATAATATCCATTTGCCTCAAATATAGCCACTGATGTTAAAAAACATGAAGAAATTGAAGATACTACTAAGTTCTGCAGCATGAAATTGATCAAACATATAATCTAGATGCACTGCTAAATCACTGATCGGAATATGAAAGTTGGAAGTGAAGAAGGATCAGTAGCTAGAAAATATAGCCTTGGTGACAGAAATGACACCAGAAAGTACATTATAGAATTTTGCAAGACCAATGATTTACTTACTGCAAATACCTTTTTCAACAACATCAATGGTAACTTGGCACTGGATTTTAAAGTTGGTTTGAACCAGATAGTCTATGGGTCACACATACCAGTTGCTTGTTGCTATTTGTCAGAACTGACTTGATGACACTTCACACACAACAACACAACAACATTGGCATGAGCCTCACAGGATGGAATTCACAGGAATCAAAGTGAGTAACCCTGTGAATAGACACAGAGACATTCAGGATCACCAGTCGAAACAAGGCTAGAGGCTGACTGAGGAACAGTCATATTCATATTCAAGTTGAAGTTGAGGAAAATTAAAAAGTTCATGAGAACCAGAGTATGACCTTGAGTATATCCCACCTGAATTTAGAGAGTGTCTCAAGAATTAATTTAATACATTAAACATCAATGACCA